AAAGAATCAATTCTCATGACAAATATATTTTGAGAACATAAGATCATACTCTCTAGACTTGAGAAGTATTATATGCATTGAGACTGATTTATTGCTTTGGTAGTATAGACCAGTTTTCGTATAATAGTACTTATATTATTATGTTAAAGCTAATGCAATACTTGTACTACTCTACCAAGGCCAGTAGATCTGACTACTGCATTTACACACTAGAACCAGAAGCAAAATTAATAAAATAGATTGTCTGCACTACTGGTACCACTACCATCCATTTAGAATGTGCTCCAGTATGGTGTTATGATTTGTAGGCTGTCTTATCAGAAATCTTTAGTTCAATCCCTTCAATCTAATTTAATAGTTATTATATATATAAAATAATTTATTTGAATTATAAGCTTAAGAATTTCTGTACCTTCCAGTAAAAAAAATCCTATATAAAATTTAGAAAAAATTAATAATTACTATTATTATAAATATTATCCTAATAGCTAACCATTAAACTTATGAGAACTTCTCATAATTGAAATAATTTTATAATAATATTATAAATATTATGTATGATTATATGATACAAAAAAAACATTAGTTGACATATGAAAAATAAATTGTTAGAAAGTCTTATGATAGCTATTAGTATCTAAGTTGTATGTAGTTAAAATATTCACATGAAGCAGTATTTTATATCAAGAGTGAAATTGATATTTTAATATAATATATATATAGTAAAATGTGTTTTACACTATAGGATTACATAGTAATAGTATAATAATACAATAGATACACAATATTTGAGATTTGCACAATATAATATACCTTTTATATAATAATATTTTGCAAATAACATTTTTCTCCCGGCTTTTACTTATTCTGAGTTTTTTTACAAGAAAACTGGTTTAAAGTTAAGTCATTTAAAATCAGACTAACTTAAATAAATTACAATAAAAGCTAAAGATGAAATATATTCTAAAATAGATAAATTGTATCTTTGTAAAAACGTTACTGCCTAGTAATAATGATTACAATTTTTTAGATTCTTATTCTATCTAAGTTCTAAATACTACTCTTATAAAATATTTTAACCTAACTGACAGAAAACCTTCCTAGTATGATATTATAACTATTTTGTTTATTCTTTTCATAGTATTACTACTTCTTGTTTGTTTCTTCTTACCAATAATTTCATGTCTCAAATGTGATTTTCATGTTATTGTTTTGAATTTCTTCACATTTTTTAAAGGAAAAAGATAAGAAGACTCAAAATAGCATATATGAAAATAATTTATAAATATTCTACAACACCTCAATTGTATATTATTTTTATAGATACCCTTGGATCTATTCCCTTATATACTATTTACATCTGATAAAGTTCTCAATTTAAAAAAATTAAAATATGATATAATTTTTATAGCAAGCTAAGCAGGGCTATTAGGAGTACTAGGATCCGATATCCAGGAACTACTATAAGTAGGGTAACTCTACTCAGAATCGGAATCACTAATCTCCAACACCTCCATCTGGCCCCCTTGCGGGACCCACATATCGTCATAAATATCTGTCCTAGTGGAGTCCTGTGACTATAATACTACAGAATTAAAAGTCTCAGATTAATAATATATACATTGCTACTATTAGTCCAACTTAATCCTGTTTGCAGAATATATCAGAGGGCACCTTCGGCCAGGTTTGGGAAGTTGAACGGAGTAAATCTGTCTACTACTTAAAATGTTACTAGGCTTTAAAGATAGAACATCTTTGGTACAAACTGTAAGTAACAGGACATTTCCACACAAAGATGCGATATTGAATGTTAGAAGATCTCTACAAAGAGCCAACACATTCTTATCCACCCTATGAAAATTAAAAGTGTCTAGAACTTCAAGGAATACTATTAAAAAAGTCATTAAAACTTCATAGAGTGTTATAACTAAGTCCACAGATGCATCATAGTCACGAGAATTACCCCTAATACCAAACAAGGATGAAAGCCCTGTTACTTAAGACAATCAGAAGTTGTTGACCGCGGAATTATCTGCCAGTCGGGTAGAATAACCTTCTGCGAATTAGCAGAAAGTTATTCAGAGAATATTTGTTAGTTGCATCAGGAGTTATGGAGAATTAAAGTCAGCAACCTATAAAGGTTTCACCTAGGACTAGGTACTCCTGCAAACACAACCTGTAGATGAAACTGATTATTTTATTAATAGGGGAGACAATTGGGACCAATTCAGTTCAACTTGAGAACTAGGCCATAAGTCTAATAACTCTGAAGATCAGATAATTACTATTGGGAACAGCACAATTCCCAATTAGCAAAATAGTAATTACTAAAGAGGGTGTGATAGTTTTCAGAGTCTCCTAGTATTCACACTTCAGGAGAATACCCGACATTACAAGTTATCATTAAGAAGGTACATAATTTATTTGAGAGATAGATGTAGTCTGCAAATACTCAAAAGCCGAATATAGATATCGAAGTACCTCCTGAGCTTTTTGATATCATCAAGCAATGGAGTAGAGATATTAACAATATAATATTGTTTTACAATTTAACCTTACTTTACTCTTAGTAGTCATAAACAAAAGGAGTAACCCTTTGTGTCTTCCTAGACAAATATCTGTCTACAAAACGAATCCCTATTGGCCTAGACAATTCTGAGTCTATACAGATAGTCTCCGTCTAACAAGGGCCTAAGTATTTTTTTACAGTAACATGCCAAACAGGCCCTAAATCAAGCTAAGGAGTAGCCTGACAGAGCCTTTGACTCTAGAATCGACCAACTTATTTCTATGAACTCTTTGGTTCGCAGGAACTCAATCAAACGTACATACTTTAAATTTAGAAAGCATGCTGTGAATGAGTTCTAGTACTAGAACCATCACCTGACTTTAATTAGTCTATATCATAACGACCAGTAGTAGAGTCCTTTCGCAGACCGTATTCCGAGGAGCAACCTCGACCCAGCAGGAGGTCAGAGACCGATTCTCGACTTCCCTCACCATGACAAGGACCAAAGTAGAGACCACCCATCGAACAAGATGGTCAAAGGCCACACCAATATCCGAGCAACCCAAGGGCGAATGAATTCGAGGCAGGCATGGTCTCCCCCCGGGGGGCAACGCAGGAACGCGCCGAAACCAGAACGAGAGCACAACTCTCAGGAACCAGCGCAACCGCTCAAACAGAGTTGCCGGGAGGCGGAAGAAGATTGTGAACCCATAGGGGGCAGGGGAACTGCAGAAGCACACATCATTTTCCCTCCCTCTCTCCAAAAAGAACTGAAATACTACCCGGCTATACTTTGGATATCCCCCTTCCGGGTGCCCTTCAAAACGAGAGGAAACCCCACCACCAACGGCCCCAGGAGACGAAATGAAGTAAAGCAAAGTTCGTCCGGGAAACGAAAATGTTTGACCAGGCTGTGAGGATGTATAAGGAGGGAACTACAACGTCCAGGCGAGGGCACGAATTCGCTAATCTAGTAGTTGGGTTGCGGGTACTGGGAAATGCCGCCCAAAATATAGCCGCAGCTACAGTCTAAATACCGTACTCACTTCTTTACTTAGAAAATGTGCTCGCTCCCGGCGGGTCCGGTTCCACATCCGGGTGATCGGGGGTGACTCGGGGTCTGGAATTAGGCGAGGCCAACCTTATCAGATCAGATGGTGTGCCGGGAGATGAGATCAACTGTGCCAAGAAGCTAATCCTGCAAGTAGCAACCAAAACAAATGACAACAACAACAAAGGTCAACTGAAGACACCCAGACCTATTCAGCCCTCCTCTTCTTTCACTCCCTCAGACACGAGCCTTTCTTTCGTCCACAACAATCATTCCCCTCTTTCCCTCGCGCACCCTATTTCATTTACATTCAACCCTTCTTTCCCACAGAGTCTCGACCTGTTGATGTCCGAGTAGATTCCCGCTTCGTGTAATATTTTTTCCCCACCAATACCGCTATTGTGAAATTGGAAAATTATCTCGAGAACAACACAATCAAAGCAATTTTAGATCGCCAAACCCGTTACTATGGCCTACTGTGATGTAACAGACACCATGTCTGAAAGTCACGTCTCTCTTCCCTCCAACATTCACGACCCGGAAAGTGACCGGCTACGCCTCGGACGCGAACTGGCGCGCGATTTTGGCCACGATTCTTTCTCTTCCAATTCGTCATGCGGGGGTGCAAACGACAATAACAATGGTGAAGAAACCGACACCCTGGGATCTTTTGACATATCAAGAGATGCTCGCGGAACCTCTACGCGCCGGGTAGACATGCTACAACACACGCCTACAATTGACTCACGGTTGTTCTCACAAGAGTTCGCAGACTTCACAATGGCTGGCCGCGATGGTGATGATGAGGAGATCACCGATAGCATAGAGATAGGAAGAGGTGGCAATAACGGCTCTGATTTAAGGTCGGTAGACTTTTCGTCGTATATTCCGTTCTCCATTGGAGCTGGTAGCAGTAGGAGGCAGGATCGTAAGATGCCTAGCTTCTTCTCTACCGTCTCACCAAACCCTCCTGTAAGGCTACAGATACAGAGCATCTCGAGCACACATTCAGACCCCTCCGAGTATCTACAAGCCTCAAAGCGAAGGAGCGGTGCTTCCACCAGCAACAAACCAAAGGAAAAGGCCAAACTAGGCCAGGAATCTCAGGGTTTGGGTGGTCTCACAGGATTTGATTTGTCACAAATCGAATTATCGACCCCGAAAAACAAGTCAAGGGGTCGATCAAGGCTTGCGGCGACTGGGACAGGGACTGGTGCTTCAAAGATATCTGATTTTGTTTCAAACAGTGGTAGTGGGGGCTCGCGGTCACGATTCCGGGGCGGGCAATCGAAGAGCCCGCGCGACGAACATGGAGACACTGCCTCGGATGTCGGTAGTGTTTCTGGTCGAGCCCCCCCCTCGAACACTCGCTTCGCATCATCAAAGCCAAGACAAATCTCCTCAAGCAGCGTACCCGGCGTAGGTGTTCGTGGGAATCGGATGGCAAAAGATGATGATCTGACCGCAGATGTACCTGCAATCGTTGCCAAAGCTCGGAGAACGGGCTCCGGCACTGACAAACCCGTCCCAAGGTCTTTCAAGTCTACCGATGCTTTCCTGCAGGAGCTAGGCCTGGACGGGCACACCACTACAACGGACTTGAAAGAAAGATTAGACAAGTTGAAAGATGTTGATTCCGGAAGGGCGCCTGGGCTTCATAAACCTGGTGATGAGACTATTGGCATTACCCAGCAGTCTTTTCTCCTCCCACAAATGTCGGATCTCTCAGAACTTATTTCCGGCTATCCCGGTGATGCAACTAGGTTTTCTCGCAAACGTACATCCGGGGGATTTCCAAAGACCCATAAACCTCTCGAATCGATTCCTGTTCCTCATGACGAGCGTGCAATCCTTATGGCGATGAAATTATTACAAGACAAAGTGGAAGCTCTCGAAGGCTCCAAAGCAGAAGCTGAGCAACAATGTATGCATTTGGAACATGAGTTGAGAAGGAGTGAGATAAGAATTCGCCAGGAGCAACATCGGGCAAAGGCAGCAGAGGACAGTCTCATAAGAAAGAGAGGTGGGGATAGTGCATTTGGTGGAAGCAATGACGGCGACGCAGAGGAGAGAGCGAAAGAAAAAATGAAGTTAGAACATCAGATGGAGAAGCTCAGTGCGTTATCGCTTTTATCCCTTGCTAAATGTATTTTCGCTTACAATAGTGCAGAATTGGAGACCACCATTAATGGCCTTCTCACTCGATTGGATGCGCTCACTCGAGAGCTCGAGGTTTCTAAAATTGCCTTGAGGCATATGCAAGAAGAGCGCAACTCTGCCATCAACTCCGCTGCGATGACAATTTCTACGAATGAGGACCTCAAGGCAGTAAATGAGGAGCTTCGAATCGAGATTGCTCACCTCCGACAGGGGCGCTCTGATTACGATTTCAGAGACAAGGAGTGGAAAATTCGTGAAGATAGGTTGCGGCGGAAGGCCCGAGAGGCTAGGGACGCCGCTGCAGTTGCTGAAGTTGTGGCAAGAGACACAGCTAGACGTGAAAAGAGCAAAGAAGCTGCAGCAAGCGAAGAGTCTGTCATGGCCGAAAGACGCGAGCAACGGACAAGAGAGAAGGAAGCCGAAAAAGCAAGAGAGCGTTTGGACATCGAAGAGAAGAAGATTGCCGAAGAGCAGAGAGCAAAAGAGAGAATTGCATTGCAGAAAGAACGATTTGACAAAATGGTTGAACATCAGCTTAGGAAACTTCGTCCGGACCTTTTCATGGCCAGATTGGATATTCCTGCTGCCCCGTCATTGGCTGTTAACCGGGTTTCAGTACCGGAACCGGTTAGACAGAGAAGGGAAGGAGTGCAAGCACAGAGAAGGGGAAAGAAGGATACTCGTTCCAATGAGGCCCGCGGATATCCTGCTATTAGTGATAGCGAGGCATTGCTGATGGATGCTCAAGGCACACAAGCTACTTCCGGGGATAACGAGCCAAAAGATCTTTCGACCGGTGACGATACTGTCATGTCTATTTCTGTGAGTATAATCACCTATTACCCTTCTAATACTATTTTCTAACCGCTGCGGGTAGCCCGATGAGATTAAGAGGATTGCAAAAGAAATTAATGCTGAAAGGCGCAAGAGAAAATTAGCTGTGACACAAGAGCCGGCACTGTCCGGTCTGGTGACGAAAGCCCAGGCGAAGAGGGCCGCAACGCCGAAAAACCCAACCAGGAAGTCCGCCAAAGCATCTGCCCCATCAACCGAGAAGGTCGAAGAAACTATTGCTCCTGTTAATCGCAAACCTGGCACATCCAACAAACCTGCCAAAACCGTCAGAATCGCTAAGAGCGATAAGGGCGGGGCGGTCGACAACTCGGCCCAAGTCACCATGACCCTGCCCGCTCAACCCCAGGAGCAGCCACAAACTTCGGCCATTCCATCTTCTGATGCTGCAGTACAAGCTTCCCAGGCTTCCCGAAGGCCAAGGAGAAGGAGAGTCGTTAAGAAGGTGGTTTACTATTATGATGAGGAGACTACGATGAGCTTCCCTGTTGAGGAAGAGGTTGAGGAAGAGGTATCTGAAAGCGAGGATGAGGGGGCAGAAGCTTTGAATGGGCAGGCTCGACAGCAATTGCCCGTGCCAGGCCACGATGAAGAGCACACATCCCATGAGGAAATGTCTTATGAAGATCCCATGACTCTCCAGGAGTCCATGATTCATTCACCCCCCCCTGCCCCTCCCGCAGCGGCCCAACTGACACCTCGAGAAACACATGACGTCCAAATTATGGTTGATCACCTTGCCGAGCATGATCCTGAATCCTGCACCGTCTGCAAACGCATTCAGCAACTGAGACAGAAGGAGCAAGAACATAAGATGGCTAATCCTCTGGCAGATATTGATAATTCAATGGCATTCCCCGCCCCTCCCCTTGAGCCTGTCTCTACAAGGAGACCGGGGAACACTAGGTCATATGAGGAAGAAGCAACTCCTAGGCCATCACAAGCACCAAAAACTCAGCTAAGTAAGGTTGTTCGTCAGCTCCAAGACGAGTTTGCCCATATTAAATTGTATGCTCCTTCACTATTTCTTCCTTTTATTTATTATCACGCTAACTTTTTTTTCCTTTGAAACAGAACGTACCAAAACAAGGCGGAGGAGTTCATGAGCCTAGACCCATCGATGGGGAAGAGACGGCGCAAGGCGCTCACTGGGGAGATGAACGAACTAGTGGCAGAGATGGATTACAAATGTGATCAAATATACGCATTGTACGACGTTAACGAGGAGTTTGCCGGGAGAACGGATTCCGATGATGAAGACGATGAGGAAGAGGAAGAGGAAGAAGGCGAAGAGGAGGACGAGGGTGACTTGACAGAATGGACAATCCCAGAGTCATTTGCCCTTGAAAATGGCGAGAATGGCGATACCGAAGATTCTGCTGGTGATGAGGAAGAGGAAAATTAAGTTTGTCATTATAGCTAGTGCATAGTTGTTCTCGTGTTTAAACTATTGGAGTTATGGGTTTTTGGGTGCTTTTTTATTCATTATTGTACTATTTTTTCCCTTACAAATGGTTTCAAGGATGTATAGTTCCATTAATGTTATGGGGGCCGGTCAATGGTTTTATTTTATTCTATTTTTTACCGTCGTATCATACTTGTGGTTTTGTACCGTACATCTGCTGGAGTAAATGTTAGAGTCCTCGAGTGATAGACAATGAGTGCCATGTCACTCATGCGACGTGTTCCCTAACACTTTGATATGTACGGTATCATATCTTGAAGTACATTCCTTGGAGCAAGGATAAGTGAGGAGGCACAGAATTTGGAATATTGACTTTGACATATAGACTCCGGTTCCCTCGAAAATGCTCTACTAAAGCCGTGCTCGGTTGGTTATTTTTATGCCATAAAAGTGCCATAAAAAATGTTGAGATGGAAAGGGTGTTCAGCATGGCCTAAAGTATGCCATATTTTATCATAAAAATAACCAATCGAACAGGGCCTAGGGCTATCTGACGGTGCTCTCCATGTATATAAATAACCGTAAGCGTTCAAGTAAATTTATTCCATTGGTGGGGCGGGCCAATTTTCACATATCAGCACCCATTTGGCCTTGACAAAGCTCTCTGGCATCCGCTTGATGACCATTTCTCTCGAAAATGATTATTATAATTTTTCTAGAGTCTTCCAATATCCCATGCCGTTTATTACTGTACATAAGGTGTGTATTTGATGATAAGAAACAGTAGAGAAAGGGAAGGAGATGAAAAATTGGACGTCGGTGGAATCTATGAAACAGCGTCACTAATCATCAAGTCTGTATATGTTTTAGCTCTCTTCTCCTCCTCTATCCGTGCGGCCTCCTCGTCAACAAAGAAAGTGAGGCCGGAAAAGGCCTCGAACAATGAGCGACCGTAGTACTCTTCAACGAAGTAACCACCAGCCTGCGCTGCCGGATCGTTTCGGACATTCTCGAGCCATCTGCAATGATTCAGACATCAAGCGAACCACAACCCGGAGGAGGAAGGGAACGTACTTATTTTCGTAATAGTCTTGAACGATATAGTGTTCGTTAACATCACTGAGCCCGCCAAGAGGATCGAAGGGGCCATCTTCAAGGACTCTCTTCCTGGTCCCCGCCAACAGCGAAGAATTCAGCAACGATCGCCCCTCAGCCAGACTTTTCAACTTCATCTGCTCATCAGCCTGCCTCCTCTTCCTCTCCCCAGACCTCTTCAACTGCACCTCCTGGATAACCTTGACAGCACCCTTATCCCCACTCGCCAGCGCATTCAAGGTGGCAATCTTCAACTCCTCCTGTTCCCTGCGCTCCTCCTCCCGCTCCCTGACCGCCATCTCCCTCGCCAACCTCTGACTCTCCTTCTCCGCCTCAGTAGCTTGTGCGAACGCCATCATCTCGGCAGCCTGTCGGGCCGCATTAGTACTAATAAGCTCCTTATTCGCCGCCTCGTACTCGAGAAGCTTCGCCTCGGTCTCCTTCACGTCGATCTTGTTCACCAAATTGAACGTGATCTGCTCCACCTCCTCCAGATAGTCATTGTACTCGCGCAGGTTATCGAAGTCATCCTGGCGCTTGTTGAAGGTCAGCGCCACCCGCTTTCGCACGTCGACCTCGCGCTCAACAGCTACATCCTCGAAAGTCTGCTTGCGGAACTTGTTCTTGCGAAGCGTCTTGCCGCACGCGATCACGGGGCAGGGAGCTGGGCCTTGCATGAATATCCGGTCGACACAGGATTCGCACATTTTGTGGTAGCACACCGGGTTCATGAGGAAGCGGATGTTTGGATTGAGGTAGCGGGAGGATTTGCATACTGGGCAGTTTTCGTCTGGTGGGGTGGCGGTTAGTATTTGGGTTGTGCTCGTGTAGCGGATCTGGATATAGATAGAGGGAGGGAAGGGGAGGGAGAGAAGAGGATGGGGTGCTGGAAGACTTACCATCATCATTGAATAAGGGGTTCGACATTCTTGGGCTTTTATTTACTTCGGTTGGACCTTGACCTTATGGGTGGAGTGGAGGGAGGGGAGGTCTACGGGCAGGTTATGCCTTAGTTAGTGGAGTTGTTGATTACAGTAGGGGTTTTCAAAGTTAAAAAGGTAGAAAAAACTTAGCTTACTTTGTTGTTTCATGTAAACTTGGCACACCCAGAAACAGTTAATTTACCATTACTTTACCATACCATACAATACTTTTTTTACTTGTAGTTCTAGGGGTTTTCAAAGTTAAAAAGATGATTTCTCAGTAACGAGTAAAGTGGAAAGTTGCATTAGGTTACTTTATAATGTTAGCCAATCATGTCCCCATGTTTGGGGTAGCATATTTGAATACACCAAGGTAACTGAAGGAAAATGTGTTGTGGCTCAGGTGGTACTTACAAACATTGTGTAAAGCCTGTTTTATCAATAAGAAGTCAACATCAAGAGATTTTTACCACAGAATGTAGATAATTATTTCTAGAGTTATTGAAAACACTTTAGGGTTTTTCATCATTTGTTTGTGCTTTGTATACTGTTTCTGGGTTTTGGTAGGGTTCAGTAAAATAGAGACCTGTAGCTGTTACTGACCTCCAAACCTCTGTCTCTACCAGTAAAAAAAGTATTCCCAAGTTTACATGAAACAACAAAGTAAGCTAAGTTTTTTCTACCTTTTTAACTTTGAAAACCCCTAGTATGGTATCATATGATACCTTACCTCACCTCGCAGTAGATTAGACTATAACTCAAGCCGCCGACCAAAACTTAGGTTAAACAGAAACTTTCGAGGATCCCTCCTCCCACAACGCTGAAAAATATAAGCAAAGACACAAAAAAGATAGTGAGAATATTATGGGGCAGAAAACTATAGGGATGTCACTCCGTGAACCATAATCCCTCCGGTAATTGGGCGTATCCTCTGATATGTATCATATAATGCGATATCCCAGGGCCGGCGGCGAATGGGTTAGGGTTACCTCGGCTGAAAGAAAGCCCTATGTCACTTTTTCCGCCCACCCTCTCTCCTTGTTTCTCCACACTCTCTCGCACGGCAACTGCCTTCCCCCTGTTTCCCCCCCTATTCCCCACTTTTCGTGAATACCCTCATAATCGCCATGCCCATTGAGGTAGAGCGATCACTTGAGCTTCATCGTCAGCGTCTTGAGGCTTCGCTGGAGAAGCTGAGGAAGGCACTTAGGCACTGGCAGATTTCCTCTGCCGAGTATGAGGCATTGAGGGAGGAACTACAGGTGCTACCTGGTGATGCTACGCGTGAGGATATGGTGAGAAATATTCTGAGTAATCGTTTACTGAGTTGGAAAGGCTGATTCAAATGAAGTTGAAAGTTGGGAGTGGGTTTGGTGGGACTGTGGTTGATGAGGAAGGTGTGTTTTATTTGGCATTCTTTTGCATTTTTTTCTGCTCTTCTCCCTTCTCGTTTGAGAATAGGAGGCTAATTTCTGGTGTTTAGATGTGAAAGCACTTCTGGGAGATAACGTTGGCATAAGGAGGACAGTTGATCAAGCTATCGCAGCAGTGGGTCACAGAATCAATTGTTCGTTCCCCTCAATACTCTTCCTCCTTGGGATCTGACTCTAACGAGACAAAGATGTTCAGGAAAATGTGGATAAGGTTCAGAAACAAATCGATCAAGGCGAAACTGAACTGGCCCCCCTCCTCGTTGTTAATGAGCCAGATGTGGGTTATCCTTCAAAACCATCTCCGGCCGCTTCACCACTGACAGCTCTGTAGCTTAAAGCAGAAGACGGCTTACCAATTATGGATATTCGTGAAGAATTAGATGAGGATGGGAACATTATCAGTCAGTCGCCACGCCCCGTCTCTACCACCCCGTTGCCTGCGAGATCTTTCTTGAGGCAAATAGCTAAGCTACATAGATACTACTATCAGCGGAGCCGACCCCAGCTCGGCGAAGGCTTTGGATACTACACCACTTGAACAGCTACAGAAGATGGTCGGAACGGATGAAGATGCAAAGGAACAGAAGCTTCCTGTTGAAGCTTCAGAGGAAACCTCAGAAAATAAGCCAGCCGAGGCGTCTAAACCCTCCCCCCAGGTGCCATCCCCAAGTGCGCGAAAGAGTGATAAAACCCCAGCGAAGGGCGAGCTAGATGGCGTTAAAACCATATCTCCTAAAGATGAAGAGGGTGGTGGCTTTGTTAGAGTTCTCGACGATCCAGTTCTGAATGAGGAAGACTTCGTAAAGGAAGTACCGACAGATTCACCTGAGGAGGCCGAGATGAGAAAACAGATGCTCAACTATAACTTGCAAGAAATTGGGGCTGTAGTGGCGGAAATCAACCTTGAGGACGAGGGGATATATTATGGGCATGAAGGCGACTCAAATGAAGAGACAGATGAGCTGGATTCTGAGGATGAAGACCGCTATGGACGCACTGCTACCCGGGTCATCACTCTCGAATATCAGAAGGAAATGGAGGACTTGGCCCGCAAGATTAAGGAACGTGGAGTAGTGGCAAGGGCCGCAGAGGCCAAGTTGCGGGAGGAAGAGAGTCAACGGAGGAAGGATGAAGCAAAAACCCGAAAACCGAAGAAGAAGAAAGGTGTCCGGTTCGCCACTGAGCCAGAGATATCTACGGCACCGCCACCCATGCCTGACTTCCCGGCACCACCGTCAGCTCATAACACGGAAGATGCTCTTCCACTATTGGTTGATCTGCTTGTTATGGATGCCATGCGGAGAAGCGGGACGGTCCCCGGGAACACAGCTCCTGTAAAAGAGAAGGGACCCAGCATCTTCAAAAGTGAGAAGACTAAAGTGCAGAATAAAAAAATTGAAGAGACCCCTGAACGGGTGGTTCCTACATCAGTCATTAGCTTAGATGTCATGGAACGTTCTGCAGATGACGGGCCGACCTCACTTGAGCCTCCTGCGTCGAAATCACGGAAGGTTTCACGGTTCAAGGCGGCAATGGCTATTCCCCAGGACGATGATGTTGACAATGATGCTTCGCCTCCTAAAACCAGTACGAATGGCTCCGTTATTGAGCGAGAAGTGTCTGAATCTGCTCCTGTTCAGCCACCTGATGAATTAAATCCTCTTACTCACAGGTCTGAGGTTGCAGTTGAGTATCACAGATTAAGGAATAAGATGATACAGCAGCAGGGTGTATTTGTCGGGAGTGGGGAAGAGATGGCGAAAGTGCTATTGGACGATAATGGAGAAACCCAGAAAGTTAGCCGATTCAAAGCGGCAAGAATGAAGGGATTGCTTCCATCATAGGAATAGCTTAGAGGGAGATATTAGCAAGCTCAATAATACTTACATCTCATATCGCAGCTAGGTATAACTGTACACCCATCACCTTCCCACTTTCACATGTGACTCCTGCCCCTCTTCATTCCATATCAGGTTCCTCTGTCCACGGAGTGAGAGAAATAAACACGGGAACATCGCTTTAAGAATGTTTGGTGGTTCAATCCATCCGCTAAGCATAATTCGATGAGATTCCAAGATTAAACTTTATTCAGTAGTTATGATACCAGGGTCCTCTGATGTGCGTCCTATAAAGCCGTTGGACGCGACAATTCGTTTCACCCAGGACATTTTTTTTCCTATGTTCATTGCCCCCATGGTGGTTAAAGGAGGGGGAAGATGGATAATACAGCATTGAGCATATAATACCACAGCGATAATAATAAATTGGTTTTCCCTGTTCGAGAATCTGAATATGATGATACTAGCAGCCCTGTCTTACAACCGCAATCCCAAGAAGAGCACATGTTACGACTTCCTCCTCTCCCTAGCGGCCCTCTCAGCCCTCTTCTCCTCTTCGGCTAGCTCATCCTGGCGAACTTGTTCCTGGTACAACTTATCCGCATGCATCTGAATCCTCTCATCCACCTCAGCAGACCTCGCGAAATCTGACATGTACCCCATGGCCTGCAAGAACTTCTGCCACCCCCCTCCCCATCGTTAGCTCCCCCCCTCCTCTTAGGAGAGATTTAACATACCGTTTGCGTAGTATAACAGTCCTGCAACCGCCCCTTCTCACCACCACACCCACGCGCCTTCTGCGCGAAGCTGCCGTGGCGATAGCATTCGTGCAGTGCGCTCTGCTCGCCCACGCAGTTCTCGAGCGCGGCGCGCGCGATCAGGCTCTTGCGGTACTTGTACGCCTGCAGGATATCGGCAAGTTGTTCCTGTGAGGATTTCGACGCTTGCGTGAGGCCTTGCGGGGTGTATTGGGCCCAGATGTCGGCGTAGCGATCGCCGTAGGAGGAATTGATGGTCCGGGGGTCTCTTGTGGGGGTTTCCGTGGTTTCTGGGGTTGTGGGGGTGGGTTTGCTCGAGGGTGGTGGTGGTGGGGGGGGCGAGGGGGGCTTTAGTGGGGATTCTTTTAAGAGGAAGTCCCGCAAGGCCGGGTCTAGATGGCTGAGTGGGTCGGATGAGCCGTCGGCGTCCTTGGAGGAGGAGGATCCCCAGAACCAGCCCATTGTTGTGGGATCGAGGTGTAGAGGTGTAAGTTGCAATGGTTTGTGGTGGGGTGGAGGGGTAGAGGGAGATCTGGAGGTGGGTTATGTTCGTAGGGTGGAAACCTAACCTTAGAGGGATGATCATCACAGGATTAATTTATTACCGGTTAGGCTTGAGAAGTGATCGGTTCAGGTCGAGGTAAAGATCTAGTGATAGAATCGCTTCAGGCCCATTCCCGCCTAGCTCCTAGCCAGCCAGATACCGGTAGCCGCACTCGGCACTAGCAGTTCTCATTTATGTGAAATACACTCTGGGCTTGAATGCTTGTTGTATTTAGAACTATGACACTTAGCAGTACCGGCAGTCTACACCAGTATGATACCTGGAAAAAACCCATTTTGATCAGATTCTTAACAACCTCTACGAAACTATTGAGTGCCAGAATAGCACCACCAGCACAACACCAAAACGTCCTAAACCAGGAGGAGTACCACCTCTACGTGCCATTAAGTGTTCACCAATGGTCACTCGAAGCCTGCCAGCCTGGCGATCACGTTTCCGGGGGGTTTGCCAAGTCTTTTCCACAGCCAACATGCAGCGCGAATCAACACCCACCAATCCTTGACGCGTTACTCTTCCGTTTCCCGTCAACCCACCCGGAGGTTTTTTTTTTTTTAAAAAAAAAAACCTTTGTTCACTCTTTCCCTCAATATAGCAATGGCTTCATCCCGTGAGTATCCGAAAATTGTGTTCGAATATTCGGCTAGAATAATGTGCTAATTTTGAGGCAGAAAATGAAAGATACCTAGAGCGACTGGCTGCGCGACAGAGAGGTGCTGGGTGAGTTTTGATTTTGTTATTGGTGTAACAAGTTCTACTTACCAAGGTATTCCAGAACACACAAGATCCAGAATTTAGGATTTTCTATACAGCCTCTTGCGCCGCCTGCCCGTCCGGCGGTAGCTCCTCCTCCAGCAGAAGCTCCTCCACTGAAACAAGCAACACCGCCAGCAGGTCCAGTACGAAGGTCGCCGAGAACTACCCCAACTCCCCCACCACATCCTTCAGGAGAAAAGAGGAAAGCAGGTTCGCTATTGCCTTCTTGAGATCATGCAGAAAGTGTCTTAACCTTCCCAGGTCCCTCATCACTCCGAAATGAAACTTCTTCTGGTCCGGAGGAGACGCCTGCGGCTGCGCTCCCGCGGCGAGTATCACCGCGTACACAGAATACACCTGCTATTACGCAAATCAGATCGTCTTCTTCCCCTATTGATACCCCGACGAATTTTAAAGCTACTAAGGCGTCTACGAGGGCTAACGCTACCAAACCGGCGGTTGCTGCTGTGACCCCAGTTCCAAGGGGGAAGAGGACCAGACAACCTAGCCCTGGGAAATTTGTGAACACCCCCGAGGAGCCGACGTGGAACGGGAGGAGTAGTTCTGCAGCGATTGATGGGGTTCCAGAAAGTGAAACTTCAACTGTGATTGAGAGGAGCCCTGAGGGGAGCAAGCGGAGAAAAGTTGTCAAGGAGGTTGGGGCATCACTAGACGTTGGGGTAGTTGGGGGCGACGATGAGGATGAGATAGTTGGGGAACAGACGATCGAGCAATCAGCGATTGAGAAGACACTGGATGAAGAGGAGGAAGCAGGAGCTGATGCAACAATGCTGGAGACACCGGTTCAGAATTTGGACAAATCCCAACCTCCACCAAATTCGTCGCCTCTTCTTTTCCTAGGTGGCCAAGATAGCTCAGAAGAGGAGGGGGAGGCGGAACCCGGATCAACTCAACCAAAGCCTCAGAATCCGCCTAAATCGGAGCTAGCAGGCAAACGAATACCACCTTTACTTGAGCCAGAGGAAGAGAGGGTAGACGAAAATCCGCAACTGGGGTCAGCGGAAAAAGGCGGGGACCTGCAACTCTCTGACGAGGAGCAGGAGAACGAAGATGAATCTGAAGCCGAGGGACCAGCCCCGCGGGTTACCAAGAAAGCCTCCAAATCAATCGCTGCTCGTAATAAGCCAAAGCCTAAACCGCCTAAAGATACTGATGAGTATGAGCACGGGCCAACCACATTTCCCGTGGTCGTACATAGATTAGCGAAGGGCGGCGCTAGCACCAAACTCCCAGCAGGAAGCCAGCGATCCGGTGTTAACCCTGTCGATGTTATTAGTCAAGTAGCCACCGAGCTAATCGACAAATTCTACCAGAGGCTGAAAGGCGGGGTAGAGAAGAAAGCTGTGGAAAGCTTCAAGGAGGAGCTAAGTCTTCGGTTCTTGGAATTGGTGAGTTCATTCCCCCGTTATGCCAATCTCAGACAAGTTAATATCACAACACAGACAGACGCACTGGAACACAGCATCATCCTCGCAGACCGTGTACGAAAAGCCCAGCGAAGGAAAAACCAACTCATGGCGGAACTCCTAGCGATCAAACGTGAGAGAACCCAAGTTGCCGTACAAATGGACGACGTACGCCGTGATCACGAAATAGCCAGTAAGAGTAGTGATGTATTTACCCCCCCTCCCACAACACGACAGCACACCTAGCTAACCACGCCACCCCCAGACCCAAAACCAGACCTCCCAACTCTTCGAAGAAATATCCGGAGCTCTCGAACGCGGCAAGTCCCGTGCTCACAATGGCGACAATGAGCAAGACCACACAGGCACAACAAGCCTGGAAGGTCTGGAAGGTCTCGTGAGGAGAGTGTCTGCGATCGTCACCGGTGGTGGACGAGATGGGACGGGGATACTTGGCAAGGTTGTGGAATTCAATGACTTCCTAGAGAAGGCGGAGAGAGTTCTACGGGAGCGGAATGCTGGTGGTGTTACAGCTGCTACTGTCGCAAGATAGCTTGTTTTTAGTCAGGTACAGGGTATGGTAAATAGGAACCAATTGACTGGAATGGACAAGGGTATAATTGGCTGGTCAACCCCAAATAATTGCTCCAGAACCTCTTGCCAGACCTTGTAGTTGGGGGAGGGGGGCTATTGTATGTATCATACGAGAATTAGCATCATTTGGGCGTTTTGTTATTTGTGTTTGTGGGGTTTAGGTATGAATGAATTGTTAGGACAGCATGATAGGGGTTTTATTAGCATTGGTTTTATGATATATTACAAGTAATTGCCCATGCGCGAACCACATGGAGCCAGAAAGATAAGTTTGAATAACCTGTACTTTTAACCCTAGTTCAAGCAATATTAATATTAAATCTGTGGCCAATATGTATCGTAATTCTGTTATAGATTACTTTATGGTCAAGTGGTGTACAGTAGTGTACCAGCACTGTAACTATAATAGAATGTTTTCTGTGCTATTCATTGTTCCTTAGTTATGCTCCTTTTGAAGGCAGCTGGGTATTATATGGGCCAACAGGGTGGTGGAGGCTATGGTTCAGTAGGGTATTAATGACATGGGGTTTGCGAGCGTGGGCTAGTGGATGTCGAATGGGCAGTGCCGTACTTTACGGGTATGATTGTACTTGTAGTTCTGAGAGCTCATGATTGATCACTGATGTAGTATTTTCGGTCCCCCCATCCCACAACAGAAGTAATACCACGACTATATATCGTGGCAAACTCAACCCAATCCACTGAATAGTCACCGTAAATACGAAACACTCAATGTATAAATTATATACGACCTCGGCTATCTAGCTAGCAGCCAACACAAGAACCCACAAAAACGAAAACAAAAACACACTCCAACCCACAAGATAAAGATGCGACACCAGCGACGAACCAATCAACAAGCCCTAGATAGCCATAAATGACAATTACAACTGTAGTACGATACCAAGTCTTCTTCAAGTCTTCACGGTCGGATCCTTCCTTGAAATCACGATATTTCCACCCTCACCAACGCAGACCATGTACTCTCCGGAGAGGCTATAGGCGACATGTCGGATTGTGGTCTTAATTCTTGGGATTTCGAGCGTGTAGTGTGCTTTAATGACGGCGAGTGGGTCGCCCAAGGCGTCACCTCGAATCGACGGGAGCTTAGCGGATGGAGCGGCAGGAGCGGGAGGTGCAGCAACAGCAGTGGAGGGTCCCCTATCACTACCGGCGATAAGGCCCGTAGTATTTAGATCGGCGCTGGTAACCGCGGGGCTCCCCCTCTCACTGGGGGTAGTCGTATCCCTACCATCCCGAGTACCCGTATCGCCCGGACTCTTGCCACACGTCTCCGTGCGCTGCAGATTCCACATATGGACCCTCCCACTCGTGCTGCCCATGGCCAAGAACGTGTCTGCGCACGCGCGTGCGAATATCCCGAAGCGCATGAAGAACGGCTCCGTGTCTGGGATGGAGAATTGCAGTAGGCGGTCGAAGCCGCCGCCGAAGGCGGAGCGCGTGGCGCGCCACTCATGTGTTGTGGGTGCTTTGTCCCGGGCAGGAGGGGGGAGGCGGGAGGTGAAATTTTGGATAGCCCAGAGGACGATTTTACTCTCCCGCGCTGCTTTCGAGAGGATGTAATCGCCGTGGAAAGCGAGGCAGTCGATGTAGTTTGAGTGGATCATCGAGGTGGAGAAGTGTGGGTACATGAGGGTTATGGGCTTGTCCCCACCCGCGGACTCGTCTGGGAGGTCGGGCAGGACCCACAGGTTTACGATATGGTCCATGCCGCCGGACAGGAGGTATCGACCGGAGGAGTGGAAAGCTATGGAGAGGATAGTCTCTCTGTGGCCCTCGCCCGCGCATATCAGTGCACACGGTTGCCGGGTATGGGCGGGGTCCAGGCTCCAGATCCGGACGGTGGAGTCGGCGGATGCGGAGGCCAGGAGTTTTTGGCTCTTCGGCGATGTGAGAATCTCCATAATCTCGTCGCCGTGACCGCTGAGAGTTTGTGTGACCTTACCTGTCTTGACGTTCAGGATTTTGATAATTCCGGCTTGTCCGCCCACGGCGATCAGGGGGTCACCGGTTTTCAGGTCTTTGGTCCACGAAGCGGTGCATAGTGACTCGTTGAATCTGAGGTCGTCGAGAAAGTACTGTATTACTTCGAGACCTTTCGTAGGATGTGGTCTTGCGATGATAGTTTCTGGACCACCAACTACGGCAAAGACCGGATCGTCGGTGGGTTTGGTGTATGGGTAGAAGTACACGCCATAGTAAGTTGCACTTTTGGTGGTGCCTCTGTTTGGCTGTTTCGTATAGTTAGCACCGCATCATATAAAGATTGAGAATGTAGCATGTCTTCTAGTTCCATGATTTATTCAGGGCAGACGTACTCCGATGGTTGTCCTCACGGAGTGAAAGAGGGTTCTGTTGGACATTATCGCAGCCGTAGATTAAAGACCAGGGGGTGGTGCATTCGTGGAACTCGGCCTGAGTTATAGCTGGAGTGTCATTGAAGAGGAATGGGGGTTTCGGTGGTGCTTGTGGGGCAGTCCGTGGGGAGGTGAGTTTGGAGCTGTTGAAAGAAGTTGCGGCTCAGCGGGGGCACCCTTATGGGGGTGCTACGAGCCTTTCATCCCACACTTCTGATTCGTTCTGCTTAATGGGTTACAACGTCCTGCCAGTGAGAAGTCTCCTCTACAGATCCTCTACTCGAGTGGATTGTGAAGCGAGCCTTTAGTCTAAATTTTTTTTATCTAATTTTTTTTATCCCCTGGTGTGAGCGAATGTAAGTTACTCGAGTGCTGGTAACTGTTATTACTATCATATTATAGCACAAGCGCCGGGGGAGACTTTTTCGCACCAGTCAAGAATTATTTTGCTGGTTAAGCTGGATTAACCATTCACTAACTTCCTACCAAGTATCATACAACGTAATATCATACCGGTAATGTACAGTACTTGCAGTTGATCTCCATACCGGCACTGTGCTTGCCCTTACGACACCGGGTAGGTTCAGAATCAGGCAATAGAGACAGCTGCCGTGGGGGATGACTATCTGACACCTGGATGCGGGCGGAGCTTATTGGGTTGATGTTAGATATAGATACCGTGCGATATCTTGAACCTAGCGCCTTTCCCTTTTATTCCAGCAGTATCCTGGAGGTAGGTTATCGCAATAGTTATGTTGTGTCAGGAAGAAAAAGGCCTTGTTTATTGCCGGATAATAGTAATATCCAAAATTCATTCGAGCAACCCATGTGGGCAATTTGTCGCTTTGTCGCTTTAAAAGTGTCTCAGAACTTTCTCCCTTCAACAGACGCCCCTGCCGATAATCCCTTTCTCACACTCGTATAGTATCATCTGTTTGCCGGGGAGTTGAAATTATACTGCTGCGTTACTCAAGACCAGACACAATACCGATAGATTACTCTAGTATGTACCGGCACCATATGATGCAGAATAGAGAGGTTCTTGCAATCACAATAACCTACGGCAGGTTGGTTTCCAGGGTCCTCAATTTCCGACCTAACGTTCCCTACACTTGGGGGGGGGGAGGTGACAGCGAATGCCCACTCACCCAAAAAACAGACAGACAGGCACCAGGTTCCAGGTCCCCATGTCGTGGAAGCTTTGGCAAATACGGGCGCACAATAGGTAGCATATCTACAAACGTTCACGGTAGGGCAGCTAGTGGCAGAGTTTGAAAGGAGAAGGAAAGGAGAAAATGGGTACTCGAGTACGAGTGCTGTCCGGTACTGTACCGTACTCGTACATCTAACAATGAAAGCCGATGAATCCTTGTGTGGTGTGTTGTGGATTACGGTACTCGCGGACGGACCTACTGAGGAGATCCATTTCTCCACCAACACCTGCGATCGCCAGGTGAATGGACAGAGTTCCTCTATGCTCCCCAATTGTTCTAACACGATAATAATAATTCATATTATTATGGTATTTCCCCGGCATGACACATTCTATCCTAATACACATAGTACTCTTGAGTTATGGGTACTAGTGACATGTGTTGATAGCAGGGTTTCTTTATGCTCTCAAATGTTTTGTTCGGGCGTTACTTCTAGGCCAAGCACCAGCTGGGATTGGTAGATGTTATTGCTGTTCTTCCCCCCGTTAGTCTAGCCCTTGTCTGATGTCGCCTGGGGGAGTATCCCCGCAAAGTTCGGCGTGGATGGCGAGTCCGGACTATCTTGACCATACAGTATCATGTTCATAGATAGCCGGACCACCGGCATTTCCTTACTGCAATGCCGTTCTGAGTTCACCAGTCACCGAATGAATACCGGTGATCAATCTTCTGTCATCTGCTACAATTGCTTCCGCTACGAGCTACGATATCACATTGTTGCGACATGCTCTTGTGCGGCACTTGAGTCCCATCACACGGCCCGTCCAGCTGAACCCCGTGGGGTTCACCTCCACACCTCTCGCTCTGGGGTTGTGATAGAGTCGCTTTAGGATACGGTAGACTGCAAGCAGTGCTACTCGAGTACTGTACCGTATGATACTGGATTCTGCATCACTTGCACAGTTATCGGCCACCCACGGCACGATCAGACGCTCCAACAAAATCTCCAACTCAATTTCTTTCCTTTTTTCTCCTTATTCCATGTTTGCAGCCCCATGATTGGTTTCCATCTTAGAGGAATAATAAAAATGAGGGATAAAAGAAAAAAAAGAATTCAGACTCCAACACCGATAACCTATTCTTCCCCCGATCGCTCAGAAGTTTGATCCCCTTGGGATTGAGAGGTCTCTTCCGACTCAGTGGTGACTGGATCAGATTCAGAGCCCACAAGCCCCTTTTTCGCAGATCTCTCGTCGCATTCGGTAAAGTTTGGGTCGCGAAGCGATGAACCGCCGATGCTGGGTTCAAGTGTAGGGTTTGCCGGTGACCGTGGTACTTGTATAATTGGTCAGACGTCGAGGAGGATTTCAACGGACAGAACAAGCCATGCCAAATCTGCATTTGCCAAGATATTTTTGCATGGCATGTTCGTTGTGCCTCCGGTTCTTTGAGCCTGCTCATGGTCAAAGGCATGTATGTAGACTATGATACGGGTATTCTCGTACTCGAGTACCCGAGTACTTAACATAGCTTGGGCATGCCGGTGTTGTAACCGGAGATCTCTACTCGAGTACGAGTACTGTATGTATCGTACTCGAGTGCCGGTATGATGCTCCACATGGTGGTGTCATGCGGCTTTACCCGATCTAATCAGATCATCGGCTCCTCTTTCAAGGACACCATGCCATCGGTGGACTGTCTGCATTCGAGCACGATAGGGTACTCGAGTACTTGTAGAACAGGACCAGTACTTGTAGACTCCTCGAGCACTCGGGCACCGGTGCAGTGCGGCAGCACACATGAAGGCAGAAAAGGCAAGCGTGGTAAGGCAATAGCGGCATGTGGCAACCAGACGCTTTGCTTCGGGTTTGGTGAGAGTTCTTGTTGCAACTTGCTGCTTTAAACCACGTGATGACCACCTCTTGCTCTTGATAGGGTACTCGAGTACCGGTAGCCTGAGGAAAGTCAACAACCGGTGACTGCACTGGCCTGTACTCGGACACCGAACACCGTACCGGTATCACCAAACTGTGCCTGCAAGCCTGTCGTACCATTGCGATCAATGCGCTGCCTCTGCCATAGTGTGTTTTGTTTACCCGTCGCAATATGGCGGAGTGTCCGTTTCAATAAGCCCTGTAGATGACCATAATTATATACGGTAGTCTAGCAAGTACCGACATCTCCTCGAGAGGCGATATTCCCCGTCATGGCTTATCTCCACTTGGACCAATTTTGCGGTATATGTACAAAGATGAAAGTTATAATCGGGAAGCTGTGAATAGTGAGTGAGTCGAGACGCACAGGTAGGCCTCTGAAGAGAGTATCGTCTCCAGGCCCCGAGTCTAAAAGCACACAACCATACGGCGATCCAAAACCACAAACGACCACTCTGGAGTGACTTATAGTACCGGTACTTTGGAGGTTGATGTTCAAATCATAAAGTGATGGAACTGATAGCCAGAAGATTGTCATGACAACAAATGGTACAATACCGGTAGCAGCAACCACAACCACAACCACAACCACAACCACAACCACAACAATAGCAACAGCAACAACGACAACGACAACGACAACGGCTACCGGCTACTTTGTAAGCTTGGAGGATCTGGGTACAAGTATTTGTAATATCCAATATGTGTATTGTAATTGGGGGTTCCTTGCTCGGCTATTTGTCAGAAGGCATATTGCACAGTCTAAACTCCGACAATCTGAACCCACTGTAATACCATTCTTGCGCCGGATTTCTGCGAGATAAGCTGGCATAAATTCTGCGCCCCAAATTTTTCTGCATAGAGCTCTGGCTGACTGTTAGGCTGGCTATAATACAAGGTTGCGATCTTCCATGCCGACCTCTCAGACCGCAATTCTCGAAAGGCCTTTGGTGGGCCACAGTATCCTTATGATACAGAAGAAAAAAAACATTGGAATCAGGTCGAGATATTCAGATTATCATACATGCAGGATTACGGTAAGTGATTCTACACATGCCGTACATTCACAAGTAAACTACGGTCCCGGTGCCGGTACGAGTACTCGACCCCCCCTCTCTCTCTCTTTCTCTCAAGGGGGACCTTCGTGTCGCACAGTTCCCTCTCCCACTCCCTCAATATCTTGCCGCCCATTGATTCCTGTGGATACATAACTTAACTTACCCTTGCTCTCGAGAGCGCTCTAACGGTATCATACCGGTATTGTAGCAACGCCCAACCCTCGCAACCTTATGCTCTCGTAACCCCCCCGAACCTCAGTTGCCTCACCAACAACACCCCGTAACCACCACTACATCTCAACATCACGACAACCCCCTCCACCTACTGTTTGTTCAAAACATACAGACCAATTTCCTTCGAAAAATTCTCTAAAAATTTCGGGAATAAAAAATAACCACAACCTCTCCCTCCCCACCCATTGGCAGTTGGAGCACTTGTTTTGCTTCTGGTCAACCTGCTCCAAACGCCTTCCTTCCGTCGTAGCTCTTGGACCTCTGAAGGAACGGCAACATGAAGGCTATCCCACTTACCATTCACTGGCACGAACAGAATCAGCCAATATACAGTGCACATTTCGAGCCCAACGGGAAAGGTCGGCTTGCGACCGCCGGCGGGGACACTAATGTTCGAGTATGTTCGACCTTTATTTGCTTTAACCCCCCGTGTTCGCCGAGTTCCTATGCTGATATTGCACAGATCTGGAGGGTCCAAGGTGATGGCGAGGAGAGCAAGGTTGTCTACCTGAGTACTCTTGCGAAGCATAGCCAAGCCGTTAATGTTGTTCGCTTTTGTCCACGAGGTTCGTCTGGGTTTCGGCTCCTATGTGGGATTGCTGGAGTGCCTTTAAGTTTGCTGAATATATTATAACAGGTGAGATGCTTGCATCGGCGGGCGATGACGGTAATATCATACTCTGGGTTCCCGCAGAGCCTGGTCACCGTTCTGGTGCATTTAGCGACGATGATCTCGAGGACAAGGAGACCTGGAGACTTAAACATATGTGTAGATCGATGGGCTCGGAGATCTACGATCTTGCCTGGTCCCCGGATGGTATATTTTTTATCACCGGAAGCATGGATAATATTGCCCGTGTTTGGAATGCTCAAACTGGTGTGTTCTTAGTGTTTGAATCTATACCGGTGCAGAGTGGTACTTATAACTTATATTTAAAGGTCAAATGGTTCGTCAAATTGCCGAACACAATCATTATGTCCAAGGCGTGGCCTGGGATCCATTGAACGAATTTGTAGCCACCCAGAGTTCTGATCGTTCAGTTCACATCTATACACTCAAATCAAAGGACGGCCACTTTTCTCTTTCACAGCATGGCAAGATTTCACGGATGGATCTCCCTCCTCGGAGGAGGGTATCGTCGAGCAGCCCTGCCCCACCCGACTTTTCCGCGCGCGGAACAAACTTCCCGCTCGGCGATGCGCCAGTTATTGCTTCTCCTGCCCCGTCAACTCCTGGGACACCAACATCTTTCTCGCTTCCGATGAACCCACCCATACTTGCTGCTAGCCGCAGAAGTTCATTTAGCTCATCTCCATCGCTTCGCCGCTCTACATCGCCTTCCCCAGCGTTACCTCTTCCGGCAGTTAAGCCAATGGAGTTCTCACCAAAAGTTCACGGCTTGGGAGTCAAAAACGCAAATATCTACTATAACGAGACACTGACATCATTTTTCCGCCGGTTGACATTTACTCCGGACGGAAGCCTTTTGTTTACCCCGGCCGGGCAATATAGGACTTCTAATCCCACTACCGGAGACGGGGCAAAAACAGCGGATGATATAATCAATACAGTATATATATACACCAGGGCAGGGTTGAACAAGCCACCCATTGCCCATCTCCCAGGCCATAAGAAGCCTTCAATAGCGGTCAAATGCTCCCCTGTGTTGTATACATTCCGGAAGTCGTCGGTAGTAACAAAACATATAACCGTCGATACATCTTCACCTGAAGACGCTCTTTCCCTGCTACCGCCGCCAGCAGTCGGTAGTCAAAATGATACACTGGGGCCGTCTGGTATGGCATCAGGGGCCTCGGCTTCTCAGCCATCCGGGCCGGACACCGCTGCCTCGACCCCCAATACGAGTGCGCCTTCTAATGCAGCCTTTTCGCTGCCATACAGGATGGTATATGCTGTAGCGACACAAGATGCCGTTCTAATATATGACACCCAGCAGCAAACCTCACTCTGCGTAGTTAGCAATTTACACTATGCGGCCTTCACAGATCTTACATGGTTAGTCCTACTCTCCTTCCATCCACCTTTTCAATTATTCAATCTCAAATTTATGTAGGTCGTCGGATGGGAACACACTGCTGATGACGTCTACGGATGGATTTTGCTCTGTGGTTATTTTCTCTTCCGGTGAGCTGGGTGAAAAGTACACAGGTCCAATTGCGAGTACGGGAGCGACAACTCCCTCTGGAACTCCTACTCATCCAACCTCAAATCCTGCTCCGACCCACAAGACCCCACTAACACCGGTTCCCCCAACTCGTCACTCAAACTCCCCGACACGTTCATCGTCGTCTTCCTCTATTAGCACGCTGGGCTCTACAGCTATCAACAATCCTAGGCCTACCGTTGGAAGCCTACCCAGCGTGTCAGCATCTGTAGTGGGAGTGCCGTTGACTACCCCGCCTCAGACCCCACTCAGCGCAAACTCTAGTGTTCTTGGGAAGAGAGATGAGGGGCCAGTGAAACAGGACGGTGGCGGAACTGAAAGTGTGCCGGATGCCACTACCGGAGGCGACAAAAAGAGGCGGAGAATTGCACTAACTCAAGTTGTTGCCGATGGCACTTAAGAGACACCCAACGCTCAGTGGTTCATTAGTCACGGTTATATATAGGTGTAGGTTACGACGGTCGGGGAGCGGAATACGTGATTAACCTGGGAAAAGAAGTTTGAGTAATTTGGAGCTTTGCTATCTGGGGAAGGTTATTTTGTTCTCTGATTTCTGATGGGCTTTCCTTTGTTCTCTGGTTTTCTTCCTCTTCCCCTTTACATTTATTTCCTGGTAGGTGTTTTGGCTCTGGATAGGCTTCCAATTGTTCTTTCTATTGTCAATCAATTTACTCTTCACCTTGGCATCTTTACACCTGAAACCCTTTGAATTATTTTCTGGTTGTTTTTTTTGAGGGAAATCTGTTCTGAATCTCCCAAACGCACATACTACTGGTAACCTTTTCTCGTATTTGCTTGGGATATGACTTTGTGGCAAAAATATAAAAAACATGTATAGGAGTTGAGCAACAAGGTGGTACCGATTTTTGCTTTTAAGAACCTTGGCTTAATGCTTCCTTGTAAAGTAAGTTACGGTATTTGAACAGTATTCTTGTATACGGTACCTTATTGTTTTGTGGATGTGGTGGTCTCCGGATCCTGGTTCAATCATTTCTTTAACAGTTCGCATTTGGCAGATGGACAAAATATCCATCCGGAGTAGATACTGATATTGTGCGGTGGTGCAGGAACCGTAGGTTAATTTGCACCGCTAGGAATCACCGATTGATAGAGTGTTTTTGTTTACTAGAACCCTGTTATCATATCACTTCTATCACAGGACATATTGACAGAATATATTGACGGTTGCAGACTGGTGCCAGGTACTGTACCTGTACCCTGGATGGCCAGATGTGATGAGCCAACTACCGATGTTCTCATCCTGGCACCCAGATGCAGTTTTTGCCTCCAATATATTCCCCAGACTGACTGACCTCGTCTCCCTCACTAGCTCGGGTACTCAAGTACCTGCACCCGTGGCTTTGTGTACAGGTTTTCTGAGTCATCTCCCATTTACCTATCATATCACCAGATTTCATGCCCTAGACCGAAATTGACCCACAACTCTATACGTGAGCAACCCTCCAACAAATTCAGAGATAGACGATGTTGCTTCGTTACGCTCTCGACGTTGCCCCACTTTGGAACACCTCCGAAGAGGTTCGGTTTATTAGATCCTCTGTCACAGCTTAATTCTGACAAACCTGGGTGAATCTAGTTCACAGAGGCTCTCAATCTTCTCTCGCCCGCAACGCAAGCTCGGGTGACTAAATACCACTTCACCGCCGATCGCAAGTTAGCCCTTGGATCACAGCTCTTACAGCGACTCGTCATCTCAGAAATTCACAGTGGCGGTAAGCCAAGCGCATCGATCCCAGACCTATCCTCAATCCCGATTGTCAAGGATGAGAAAAGCGGTCGACCCTTTTACTCCCCACCTCCGGCAACTGAGGGGCAGATATGGGAATTGAAGGATTACAACGTATCACACCATAATTCTCGGAATCCGTCATTGCCCTGTCTTGTTATTCTGGTGGCCCGCGTCGCTCCTCCATCAACGGGACGGCGGAGGGTCGGGGCTGATATTGTGCCCGATGCTTACAATCGCTCTGAATCCGCACAGATGTTCTTGGAGGGCTTTAGGTCTTCCGGGGTATTCACAGATTACGAGATTGGGGTCATCTTCTCCCCGCTAAGGAACGACGAGAAGGTCAAGATGTTGTACTTGCATTGGGCGCTGAAGGAGGCGTACGTTAAGGCAGTAGGCACAGGCTTAGTGACAAACCTGCTTGCTATTGAATTCCGGGGTGTGAACTTACACGATGCGGAGGATGGGAAATACGAAGGAGTAGAGGTATATATTGATGGTGAGAAGAGACCGGAGTGGAAGCTGGAAGTTGGAAGGCTGTCAAGGGGGCATTACTTTGCTGTTGCCACAGACGACGGGGATGGTGGGGAGGAGGATCTTGGAGAATGGAAATGGATTGAGTTCAGGAAGGACATCTGGGACGTCTGGGGCGAATCTGTGGCGAATTGAGGATATCAGGCAAAAAGGTGTTGTTTTTTGTATGATACCGTACAACATTGGTGATTGTTATGGCGTTTGTTTATATAGGCGAGAACTCTGGAATTCCGGGGCAAGGGTGTGCCAAGAAACTGCGGACACCTGACGCCAAGAGTGAGTGATTTCTAGTGAACCTCACATTGTTTACTAACGGCTCGCTTGTGCTCCCCCCGGTTGGGTGCTCCAACTGAAGAGAAAGGTAAACAAACAATCCCATCATCTCCCATAAAGTCCACCACTACTACACGAAATTAGTCCGCCAAAATCCTGCCTCTTGCGCAAAACCCCCACCAAGGATATCACAGAAATCCCCCTCTCCTTTACGGCAGGACTAGAAAGGAAACAACTCGCAACGAGTAATGTCTGGACCCTCCCGTTTCCAGAACGGAGGAGTTCGAAAAACAAACGCTTCATCCAACACAATGCGCGCTCCAGTGACTGCACGACCATCTTCACGGAACGGCATGGCTCACCCGCAGTCCTACATGACCGCCGCGAGGATGGGAGCCGGAGCTCTTCCCAGCTCTCCTGCCGGGTCCGTAGCTTCGGTGTCCTCTCGGGCACGAGGCAATGCCTCGCCAACAAAACGTCGGATAAAAAAGGACTTGGCCGTCGAGGAACCGCCCCCACAGCAGGAAGACAACGAGGCAAACATTAACGTCGTTGTTAGGTGTAGAGGGCGCTCCGAGAGGGAGATTAAGGAGAATAGTGGTGTTGTCGTTTCTACACCGGGAGGTTTGCGTGGGAAGGAGATTTCCCTGTCGATGGGACCTTTGGCGTTGAGCAATAAGACTTACACCTTCGATCGCGTTTTCGGACCGGAGGCGAACCAGAATATGATTTATGATAATGTCGTTGCCCCTATACTTGAAGAGGTGAATATCCCATAGTGTAGCATTGTGCTCTCCCTGCTACGGTAAATACTGACAAGCTTTCTCTCTAGATGCTTTCTGGGTATAATTGCACTATCTTTGCTTATGGACAGACGGGGACTGGAAAAACTTATACCATGTCTGGGGATATGACGGATAACTTTGGGACCTACTCTGATTCTGCCGGCATCATTCCTCGGGCTCTGTACCAGTTGTTTCACAAGCTTGGTATCGATGAGGCAGACAATTCCGTCAAATGTTCTTTCATCGAGCTTTATAACGAAGAGCTTAAGGACTTGCTTGCTTTGGATGAAAATAACAAGGTCAAGATTTTTGAGGACTCAACTCGCAAGGGAATAGTTATCCAGGGTATGGAGGAGAGTTTCATTAAGAACGCCGAGGATGGTGTCAAGTTGTTGCAAGAGGGAAGCCATAAACGTCAGGTTGCAGCGACAAAATGTAATGACCTCAGCTCGCGATCTCACACCGTCTTCACGATTACTGTACACGTCAAGGAGGTTGGTGAGGATGGCGAGGATTTGTTGAGGACTGGAAAGCTTAATTTGGTGGACTTGGCTGGGTCCGAGAATATTGGAAGATCTGGGGCAGAGAATAAAAGAGCTAGGGAGGCAGGAATGATCAACCAAAGCCTTTTGACTCTGGGGAGAGTTATCAATGCCTTGGTCGACAAGTCCCCTCATATCCCGTACAGGTGAGAGATCGATCTTTGCTTCGACGGTTGGATACGGTCTGACGCGGTACTTTAGGGAATCGAAACTCACCCGTCTTTTACAAGACTCTCTTGGTGGGCGCACAAAAACATGCATTATTGCTACCGTATCGCCTGCCAAGAGCAATCTCGAGGAGACTATTTCGACTCTGGACTATGCTGCCCGTGCTAAAAATATACGGAATAAGCCACAGATCAACCAGATGTTGACCAAGAAGGCACTGATAAGAGAATACGTTACTGAAATCGAGAGGCTCAAGGGCGATCTCATGGCAACACGACAGAAGAATGGTGTCTTTCTGACTACTGATTCGTATAGTGAAATGACTGAGGAGAGTGAGAGCCGAAGAATATTGAATGAAGAACAGCAGAGGAAAATTGATGTTATGGAGACACAGATCAAGAACACCCGAGAACAGTTTGAACAGAATATGAGGCTATTCTTAGAGCTCAAGAAGGAACTTGAAGGCACCAAGGGCGTTCTGGAGGTGACAAAAGGAGAGCTTAGGAAGACCGAAGTCGACCTCTCGAGCACCCGAAAAGATCTTGCCGATGAGGCCGTCTTAAGGGAAGCCCATGAGAAAACAGAAGAGGAGCTTAGGGATGTTGGGCAAAAGCTGATCACAAGGCTTGACGAAACTGTTCACGATGTTAGTGGCCTGCACGCCAAAATCCGCAGGATGACCGATCTTGAGGTGGTCAACCACAGCAGTTGGATGAAGTCTTCGGGCCAGGTTTCAACTATCACCGAGCTTGTCGAGAAGGAGATCAGCACTTTCACTGAGCGGCAAGAGAGGATCACGGACCACGTTTCCGAAAGGATGTCGACATTTGTTGCTACGGAAGTCAAAAGGCTTGAATCTGCGTACAAACACATTGAGGCTCGACTTGGGGGATTCAGTAATGGAGAGGCTGAACTATCAGCTGAGACAATGAAGGCCAAGGACGAAATGAATCAAGTCTTGGAAGAGATCAAGATCCTGCGGGAAGATGTAAAGCAGAAGGTTGGTGAAGGTTTGAAGGGGCTAAACGAAGCTGCCCGGAGAATTTCTGCCGAGGTAGTGGAGGATTTGGGTAAATTCGGTATTCAGGTATGAAGCTGCCTACTCCCGCGGCGTCTAGCAAGATATATGTCCAACAGCTTATCCTTATCGCAGCTCCATCACTCGTATAATCAACTTGGTAGAGAGTTCAAGGCGATATTCGATGACGTAGAGAAACAGATCGTCGCCCAAAAGGCTGAAGCTGAAAAGCTTCGGCTTCAGCTCAGCTCGGCTACTGCTGCTGTAGTTATTGCTACCGATACCGCACAATCTAGTCTTGACTCGATCCTTAGGGAAGAACGTGAACGAGCTGCTACAGACCGACAAAACCTAATCGGCCAAATAACTGCTCTTATCAACGCCACAGCAGAGGATCAAGACAAGCGTCTCACTAAGCGTGTTCAGTTGGTGCAGGGTGAGATTCTTGGTGCGAAAGAGGGGCTTGATGAGGCTACAAAGCAATATAACGCTGGCATGGATCAGTGGTCTGGGGTGGAGGAGAAGTTCATCAATGAATTGGTGATCTCGCAAGACTCTCTCAAGGAGATATTGGCACATGATTGGCAGGTACATACCTAATTCCATGCTGTCTTGGGTGGCGGCAGACTAATGTGGGCCCGGCCTATAGGATGCTGAGAAGCACAATGCGTCGATCCAAGCGACAACACAAGCAATTAACGCACAGACGGTCCGTCTGGTGGACGCACAAATGCAAGACGTTGGAGTACAGATGCAAGCCTTGGACGAATTTGTTACTCGGGCACGATCGCAGAACGAAGCTCATTTTGAGGCTTTCACGCAAAACCTCAGTGGACTCTCGGAAACCGTTCGGGAGTCATATCGCCGCATGGAGGGAGACTTGAATGGTTTCACGGAAGACTTGGACTCCTTTAGCAATGACATGTCGGAGCAGACATCATTGTCAAAAGTGCTCCTCGAGCCCTTTACCTCAACAACCAAACAGCCCCTTTCAGAGTTGCGTGAGAACATTGAAACCGCGCCTCTGCAAGGCTACGTCCCGACCGGCGAGACCCCCAAACGCCGAACATACGAGTATCCGACCACGCTCCCGCACACACAACCGCACGAGGAGCTCCTGCTAGAGCCCGTGACGCGCAGAAAGAGCTCTATCCGTACACCCTTGGGAGAGAAAGAGGTCCACTCACCGAACAAACATGTACATGAAGAGCCGACTGACCCGAAATCAGGCGTTTTTGGCAAACTTGCAACGACCGGTCACCCCGCCTACGCCCACAAAATCTTCTTCGGAACAGATATCGCAGCATATACTGGCATCCCCGTTAGAGGTGGTGGGGGGGTGAGTGGTGCCGATGGCACTGAGGGTGAGCAGGATGGGGACGACGAGCCCCCGGCGAAGAGGACTAGGAGACAGAAACTTGCGGTCGCCAGAGGGGGGTACCCTGCTGGGATCGCAACCGGGCCGGCAGCGCCGATAACTACTGGTAATAGGAAGAGGTCTCGATGAGGCGGGAGGGGTAATTGGTAGTGGTGAAAGAATTCCTTTTCCTCTTTTCTTTCTTTTTTTCTTTTTTGCCCTTGTTATTTGATACCACTTCCTTCACTCTCGCATCTTGTATATGGTTCACTTTGTTCACTTCCCTCGATCAGCCATCCGGGTTTCTTTTGTTGCTTGTTGCATAACGTTAAGGTTTTCTGGGTGTTCCGTTTTCCCTTGGTCTAGGTTACAACATTCTTGTACATCGAGTATCCAGTATCCACAGTCTAAGTCCGGGCGCCTACAATTACTGCGGCGTTAGTAAACCACGTTATATGTCACCATAAAGTTATATTTTACTGCCAGATTTTTGTACAGTATTAGCTAGAGTTACTAGATAAAAGTCTTGGTGCGAGTCATCGCGGATTTAGCAAGGTTATAATGGGAGGATCGCGTCACCCACTAAAGAGCCACTCAGAAGTAATATTAACAGTACTATTATGCTATTCAAATGTTGGTAATAAGGAATTCCACTTCATATCAGAAGTAAATATGGTATGTAATAGATTGCAGAATGGATGGTGTTTTTCACCCTCCAAACATTAAACAAAGCAACGAGTTCCTGCAATTTTGGGTGAATGCCTGCTTGACATATGATTTTCCGTAGATAGTCTATACAGGAAAGCAGGATTTGAAAACTGAAGCGAAGCTTAACCAGGGCATCTAATGGCTATAAGTGGATAGCTGGTGGCTTTTGTTGAGATTTTGTGAGTATTGACAGGGCGAGTGGCATGGCTTGACTGTATAATAATATTATTATTATAACTTATAGTCTAATATTTAATTTGATTAGTGAGCATCTATTAGTAAGCAAAATGTTATAAGGTTTTAGGAGTTAGAGTTTATAATATACTGTAAAATTAAAAAGCAAAGGTCTCCAATACTATATATAATTCAATTTTATAGCGATATGATCTTAATAACTCTGTACGGGAATAGCGCACAGTATGAAGTTTATACTATGAGCACACTAAGCAAGGAGGAGGTAGATGTGTGAAGGCAGATTGGTAGTAGTTCTTTTCCTTAATTCTCCTAAGTGAGGCGGGCGGTAACCCACTATATATACAGGTGCGCATAACCCAGTGTAACTAAAAGAAAAATAGGGAAAACATAGGAAGAACATAAGTGTGACTGTGTTTGACCCTGAAAAACTTGCTAAAGAAATCTATTTAAACATATGTGAATACGTAATAGTGTGAAAGATATGCAGAAACATTATGAATTTGATGACCAAGAAGAGTGCATAAAATATGCATAAGTAACTGAAATAATCTGAACACCCAAAAGATAATATATGTATAATCCCTGATCGCTATCATGAAATATTAATGAAATATATGTGATAAATATCCTAGCTGTAGTAATGTCCGCAGTGTATAGGTTTAACCGGAACATATACCAAGTATGAGAATACACGTTATTATCAAGTAAAATATACATATGAAACGAGTCAAAAATTTCAACACTTCCCCACATTATCTACAGCCCAAAAGTCCCATTATCCGAACATGTGCCGGTTTCACTAAGATCTTTGTACAAATATCAGCGAGATTATCTTGTGTGGCAACTTTAAGGAGTGTGAACGATCCCTTATTCATTTCTTTGCGTATCTTATGGAAGTGGATATCGATGTGTTTCGTTTGTTTGTTAAGTTGATGGTTTGTTGCCAAGAAGTTTGCACCGGTATTATCTGCATGCAAAGCGACAGGTACATTTAATCGAACATCGTGAAGACTCTTTTGAAACCATCGGACTTGTCGTGCTACGAGTGACATAGCAACATATTCTGCTTCGGTAGTTGAGGTTGCGACGGAGGCCTGTTTCTTGGATCACAAGGAGATTCAAGCATTATTGAAGAGTACAATGTATCCGGAAAAGAAGCGGCGAGTGTCTAGGCAAGCTGCAAAGTTGGCATCAATGTATGTATCGATAGCATTTGTCGTGGTATACGGGTAGTAGAGTCCAATGTCTTTAGTTCTATTAACGTATCTCAATACATGTTAGACTACTTTAAGGTATTGTTCGGTAGGGCAAGAAGAAAATTGAGAGAGAAATGAAATGGTATACGCTAGATAGGGTCTTGTGCCAGTCGTTAAATACATAAGTGATCCTATCATTGATTGATAGATGTATATGTCCGGCATCCACATGTCTTCGGTCTCTTTCATGAGTTGAATGCCTTTAGGTAATGGTGTAGAAACGGAACGTGAGTCTTCCATAGTAAATCGTTTGAGGACTGACTTGATGTATTGTTGTTGGATAAGATGTATCCCTTCTGATGTATAGGCGATGTGTAGGCCGAGTAAAAAAGTAGCTTCCTCAAGGTCCGTTATCTCGAAAGTCGTTTTCAGGTCTTGTACCAAAGATGAGGTGTGGGGGGTATTGGTAGCGTATATTGCGATGTCGTCAATGTAAACTGAGATGAATATTTCGTGTTTTTTTGTGAACAAACATGCATGGGTCAAGGGAGGATGTCGTGAAGCTTTTGGAGGTTATGAATCTGGCGAAGAGAGCATACCATTCGTTCGCAGACTGCTTAAGTCCATAGAGACATCTTTTAAGTTTCCATACTTTATCACCATCACTGAGCCGTGGTAATGGTCACATGTAGACATCTTCTTTCAATTCACCGTAGAGGAAAGCTGATTTAACATCAAACTGTCGTAGTTGCCATGTGCTTTTGGCGCATATCGCGAGTAGGAAGTGTAGAAATTCATAGCAAATGACGGGAGCAAAGGTTTCGTCAAAGTCAAAGCCGGGTATTTGTGAAAATCCTTTGGCAACAGCTCTTGCTCGATACCTTTGTAAGGTACCATCAGTGTTTCGCTTGGTTCTGTATACCTACTTACTATCTATCAGTTTCCGTCCTATCGGTTTATTGACAACATCGAAGGTTTTATTCTTCTCCAGTACCTTGATCTCATCTTCCATGGCGATGGTTCATTGTTCCCTAAGCAGTCCTTTGGTTGCTTGGTTATAGGTAACTGGATCCTTGTCTGGTATTTCTGAAGCGATGAAGCCATACCGTTGTGGTTTGTTGGAGATTCTTCCAGATCGTGTTTGCATTACAGGTTGCTCGTCCAAATGAAGATTCGGTACTGTTGCTGGGGATGCAGGGCAATCGTATTCTTCTAGATTTTCTGGTAGTGGTGGAGGGTGAACTTCAATAGCTGTTTGTTTTGGTACATTACCTGGTATCTATTCCTTAGGCTGGTCTACACATTGGATAGCGATAGGGAAGGAGGGTGGATGAATAGCTGCATAGGTCTCTGATATGATAGGTGGAGTTTTTGGTTCAAGCAGTATTATCGTCTTGGTTGTCCAATGTAGTTGCCTAGTTTCTGAGATCCTGTGTTGAGATGGTATATATATCTGGTATATCTTGGCGGAGGATGTATATCCGACAGGGTATCCTTCGATAGCCCGAGAGTGTAACTTCGTTCCAGGTTTTCTTGATTTCTCTGGTATATGGATGAAGCATTTAGTCCAGTATGGGCGTAGGTGTTTGATCAACGGTTTTTTGTTGTAGAGAGATTCTTAGAACGTTGAGTTTCCTATGGATCGGTTAGGGAGTCTACTCCATAGGTATATGGCAGTTGTGATTGCTTCTGCCCAAAGTCATAAGGTTAGGCTGGTTAATATAGATTGAGTCAAAGTAATGATCGTCCTATTGTATCGTTCGGCAACGCTATTAGATTCATGTGAGTAGGGAGGAGTTATGTCATGTATGATTCCATGCTTTTGAAAAGGTTTTAGCATCTCATTATTGACATACTCGCCTCCACCATCAGTTCTGAATCGTTATATAATAACTTTATTCTGGGTTTGACGTTCTTTGATGAACTGGGTAAACACTTTGATAGTATTGGATTTATTTCGAAGAGGATAAATCCAAGTATATTGAGTGCAGTCATCGATGAACGTCACATAATACCAGGTATTTCTGAAGGAAGGCTTTGGGAATTTGCCGCTCAGGTCTGAGTGGATTAACTCAAAAGGATTTTTGCTTCGCTCATAGTTATCTATTGATTTTGGCTTGTGTCTTTTGTTGTCGACTTGGAGGTGATACAAGTTTTGCATTGCTAGCCTTGTGGAATAGTAGAGATGGTAGGTGTGTTGGAGTAGTTGTTGCTTTGAAGATATTTGGGTAAGGGGTGTTCCAGTGCTTCATACCACTGTTGGTAAGTCATCTTGAACGCCTTCACTTTTGTCTCTTGTACAACGTAATCCTGACTGTCAAGCTTTCCCAAGAGAACCTCTGTTTTATTTTTCCCTGAAACATACATATCCTTCCCATTTCCATGTAAAGAAAAACCCTTTCCCAAAGAAATAATAGCATGCCATGATAACAAATTTGAAAGACCCAATTTAGGAACCCAGAGAACACGTTGGAGAAAGATAGGAGCATCACGACTATCAGATGTTTTGACCATGAGCTTAACAGTTCCACTGCCACATGATTCTATTACCGAATCATCGCCTAACTTGACTATTCCCTCTTCTGGTTTGAAGTCTATAAGAAGGTCGGTTAGGATATCTCTTCCTCTCTGATCTTAGCTGAGTTAACAGCTTTCGCTTCCTTTTTCTTAAGGTTGTCAGCCTTGAGTTTATGACATTCATTCCAAGTGTGTCCGTCACTGTGAGCAGAAGGGTAATGTTTCTTGCAGTAGGAGCACTCCTTAGATGTTGAGGCTGCAGGTCTCTGAGTTTGGTCCCTTCCCTTTCCTTTGATATCAGCGGTTTTATATGCCTTATCTTCCTCAGAGTTAATGGAGGACTTCAGGTCTAATAGTTTGTTGT